AAGACTTTCTTGAAAGAAATAGGCGATGACATAAAGAGATGGAAAAACATTCCTTGCACATGGATTGGAAGAATAAACATAGTTAAAATGTCCATACTACCTAAAGCAATCTACAGATTCAATGCTATCCCAATCAGAATCCCAAGAACATTCTTCACAGAAATTGAACAAAGAATCCTAAAATTCATATGGGGCAACAAAAGACCGCGAATTGCTAAAGCAATCCTGAGCAAGAAAAAGCCGGAGGAATCACAATCCCTGATTTCAAAACATACTACAAAGCTACAGTGATCAAAACAGCATGGTACTGGTACAAAAACAGGTCCACAGATCAATGGAACAGAATTGAAAGCCCAGAGATAAAACCACACATCTATGGACAGCTAATCTTCGACAAAGGAGCAGAGGGCCTACAATGGAGAAAAGAAAGTCTCTTCAACAAATGGTGCTGGGAAAACTGGACAGCCACATGCAAAAGATTGAAAATTGACCATTCTTTTTCACCACACACCAAAATAAACTCAAAATGGATCAAAGACCTAAAGATTAGGCCTGAGACAATAAGTCTTTTGGAAGAGAATATAGGCAGTACACTCTTTGACATCAGTTTCAAAAGAATCTTTTCGGACACTGTAACTCCTCAGTTGAGGGAAACAATAGAAAGAATAAACAAATGGGACTTCATCAGACTAAAGAGCTTCTTCAAGGCAAGGGAAAACAGGATTGAAACAAAAAAACAGCTCACTAATTGGGAAAAAATATTTACAAGCCACTTATCCGACAAAGGGTTAATCTCCATAATATACAAAGAACTCACACTGCTTAACAACAAAAAAACAAACAACCCGATCAAAAAATGGGCAGAGGACATGAACAGACATTTCTCAAAAGAAGATATGAATATGGCCAATAGACACATGAAAAGATGTTCATCATCGCTAATCATCAGGGAAATGCAAATCAAAACTACACTAAGATATCACCTTACCCCCGTTAGATTGGCAAAAGCATCCAAAACCAAGAACGACAAATGTTGGAGAGGTTGTGGAGAAAGAGGAACCCTCATACACTGTTGGTGGGAATGAAAACTGGTACAGCCACTATGGAAAACAGTATGGAGATTTCTCAAAAAGTTAAAAATAGAAATACCCTATGACCCAGCCATCCCATTACTGGGTATCTATCCTAAGAACCTGATATCAGATATCTCAAGAGTCCGTTGCACCCCTATGTTCATCGCAGCATTATTTACAATAGCCAAGACGTGGAACCAGCCTACATGCCCAGAAACTGATGATTGGATAAAGAAGATGTGGTATATATACACAATGGAATACTACTCAGCCATAAAAAAAGACAAAATTGGCCCATTCACAACAACGTGGATGGACCTCGAGGGTATTATGTTAAGCGAAATAAGCCAGTCAGAGAAAGACGAACTCTATATGACTCCACTCATAGGTGGAAGTTAGTATATTGATAAGGAGATCTGATCGGTGGTTACCAGGGAAAAGGGGGGGGTGGGGGGAAGGTACGGAGGGGGAAGTGGTGTACCCACAACATGACTAACAAAAATGTACAACTGAAATCTCGCAAGGTTGTAATCTATCATAACATTAATAAAAAATAAATAAATAAATAAATAAAATAAAATAAAAAAGAATTTTTGCCTGAATGCCACACATCTTGTGGAGAATAGTAGAGACAGATAAATAACAATGACACCTGGCCATTAGTGTCAGGGACAGAGTAAACCTAGTCAGTCAAAATGGGTTTGGAAACCTATGGTGAACTGCAGTCTGCATGTTCCTCCACCGATGGGCTGCTGTCACCTTGTACTTAAGAGTAGGGCCTGGGCTCGAGAGTTTGTTTTCCTGCTCCACCCTCCGCTTTCTGCAAGTCCTTCTTACCTGTCATCCCACAATCTTGGGCCTCCCAAAATGGTGCGCTGCTGTTGCTTACTGTTTGATACTGAGTTGGTGATGGGGAGTGGCACAAGTTTGTTTCTCCTGGTCTGTCCTCAGGCTTAGGTGGGGCCTCTCAGAATTTCTAGCTCCTCCCCCATGCCAGCCAAACATGACAGAGTACTTCTCACAGTCCTTGAACGGAAGAAATGTTCCTGCACTTCTCCCAGTGATAGCAGATCTCTGCTTGGTATTGGTGCAGGATCCTGGGGCCAAGAGGTTTTCTAACTCTCCCAAGGGGAAAAATGTTTTTGCATTTACCCCTCCCCCAGAGGCAGTGGATCTTTGCCTGAGCCCTGGAGGCAGGAAGGTTTGTTCTCTCTCCCCACAGTGGCTAATGGCTTACTCTAAAAGAGAAGGGTCTGAGGAACTGGGCAGTGTTTCACAGCTATCACCCAGTACGATTCCATCAACCACTTCCTGCATGCCTGTGTCACAGAGGGATTTCTTCTTGCCAGGTTCCTGCCCTACTCCTCCTCATTAGCACCCAGTGAAGGCTTGCAGAAAGGAGCTCCTGAGTTAAAGTGAACTACTGTCATGTCGGAGCTCCTACTTATTCTAAGCTAATATTTCAGTTCACACTTGGCCTTTAAAACATTTTAAAAAATTGTTGATTTCTGTTGGGAGACAATTCTTCCTGGTTCTCTCATGTTCCTGAATGATTTGTGAATAGAGACACTCCCTGCCTTTGTTCTGGACTACATTTCCGTGCTGGGAAAACAGAGATATTACCTCCCTATAGAGGAAAGACAGGTTTGATTACCATCCACTCTAAAAAAGATGTCTCCCTCCAGAGCAAAGGGCAGGCATGCTTAATACCCATTAGATAAAATATTTAGATTCCCTGAGCTCAGGATTTCTCCTCTGTAATGCAACCCACTGCCTGTATAGGTGTCTCCTGGCCCTCTTCTCATCACACTGTAGAATTGGGGATAAGGGAACCAGCACAAATACTGACACTCTGAGGAATGCTACTACAGTGAGTAATAAAGTCCTTCATCTCTGATTCAGGAAACGGTGGTAAGCTAACTTATAGCTTGCAGATAGGGTAAAATCTTAGACTCTTCCAAGTTCTTGATAATTTCCTTTAACTTGCTTTACTCGCAGCCTCCTAGTCTCGGCCAAAGGTTAAAAGCACATATGTGCTCTCTCTCCTTCAAAGGGCTTGTCACTCTAGAATTCAGTTCCTTCCGGTGTCTTCGATGGGTATGAGAACAGTGATTTTTTTCCTGGTTGTTAGGAAGAGAGTAACATTCTCTTCATCTTTCCACATCTTAAGCTTGTCACCGAACATAGACACAGGTTCGTTTACCCAATGCACAGGACGCCCAAAACAGGAAATACCAGGGTCACCGCAAGGAAAGAGGGTTTTTTCATTATCGAAAGGCAGCCACATGGGGAGATGGGAGAACTCAGATCCACATGCTCTAAGGGAAAAAGGTAGAGGTTTCTATGAGGGGTTTTAAGTAGGGGAAGGAGAGCATGTGTTGCAGTTCTAAGTAGGAGGGGAGAGCATGTGCTGCGGTTCTAGGTGGGGGGAGAGCGTGTGCTGTGGTTCTAGGTGGGGGGAGAGCGTGTGCTGTGGTTCTAGGTGGGGGGGGAGAGCGTGTGCTGCAGTTCTAGGTGGGACGGAAAGCGTATGCTGCCGTTCTAGGTGGGACGGAAAGCGTATGCTGCGGTTCTAGGTGGGGGGGAGAGCGTGTGCTTCGGTTCTAGGTGCTGGGGAGAGCGTGTGCTGTGGTTCTACGTAGGGATGGAGAGCATGTGCTGCAGTTCTAGGTAAAGAGAGCATTTGCTGCGGTTTTAGGTATGGGAGGTGGAGCATGTGATGGGGTTTTAGGTAGTGGGGTTGTGGGGAGCACATGGCCCACTTGATTGGTGCCGTCCCACCAGCCTGTGTTTGGCCTTGAAGACTGATTGTTTTCTCTCGACTGTCCTGACCTTCTTGGTTAGTTTTCAGCTCTAGCGTGCGTTTGGCCCTGTGAGGCTGAATCTTGGCATCTGGACCTTGGCTTCATGGGAAAGAAGCTCACTCACAGACAAGGAGGGACAGAAAGAACTAGTTAGTTGTGAACAATTGATTATGTTGAATATGCACAGTTGCAGGCAGCAAAGCTTGTCTCCAAGTTGTTGCTCTAGGAAAGATTTTTTAACTCAGTTCCCCGTTTCTAGTGGAAGCACAGCTGCCAGAGTATACCCGTTTACATTCTATTACCAAAAATAGACACTTACTGATCTAAAAGCTCTTACTGTTCAGCTTATACGTGGTTAGTTAGTTTTTAAAAGAAGCCTAAGCTTGAGTAATGAACTCAAGGAATATTTCATCACAAGCGCTGGAGGCATGGAGGTTTGCCTTCCAGCATAGGTGAGGTGGGAAAGGGTGAAAGAATCGGACCCAGGAGGGATGAGATGTTATGCAGAATGTACATATGCACTGGCCACCAAGTCTTACAGAAGATCAGGGGGACACCGAGGAAAACTGCAACCACTTGGGGGTAGAGAGAGGGCTTCTGAAGCTCTCCAAAATAGACAGGAGGATGTGGCAAAAAGACCTGAAAAGGATGCAAAGGACAGAGAGAAGAAAAGCAAGCGGTGTCTTGAGGACTCCCGCTCCACATTCACACTTTTTCCTCTCCATCGTCACTCTCATTTTTCTGGTAAGTTGAACCTAGATTTATTTTGTGAGATTTCTCTCTTCTGTACTGTAGCAGGCTGGTTAAGGCTGCCCATTAAAAGTGCACACTCTTCCCCTAATCAACTCTCCCAGGACTCCCTGAGTCACAAAAGATAGAAAAACAGAACGGGTTCATCACTGAGCTGTTAGTTCCTGCTACATCGACCCCAGAACATCCTTTGTTCCTATCTTTTCAAAGCATGGCTTAATTTTGCTTCTCACTCTGTCAATTACCCAATATTCCCATTTTGCTTGAGTTAACCAAAGCTGAATTTCTGTTGCTTACAACCAAAAGAACCCCACTGATGTAGGGTAAGTTCTCTAATAGACGGCATGACAGAAGCCACAGGGAGCTCTCGAAGGTAGCCTGAAATCCAGATACTTTATTTAAAATTATTAAAAGAACATGTATTAATAACAGTCAAAATTGCTGGCTATGGTACAATGACTAATCAATTTCACGTTTCTATGTGCTTGTAGTTGATTAGCATTTTCTAATGGTTAGGCTGATGATGTTTTACTACTACAAACTGTCTTTAAAGTTTACTCTCTTATCTCCCATGTTAGAAATAAGAACAAATGAGAATGAACTCAAATAACACAAATTACATGCTACAGGAAAAAAATCAAGGAGGGGGTTTTGAGAGTAGCAGATGATCTATGTTACAATGAAATATGTGAGAACCGCAAAATGTTTAATTCCTGTTCAATCTGAAATTTAGCAATATAACTTGTAGAAATAAGAGTAGGTTTTAAATTCTTTTATATATTCATATGTGAGAATTATATAGTATACATCAGAGAATCATTATACATTCTATTATATAATATATAATATATATTGTGATATATACATATCACTCTTTTAGGGTTATCTCATTACTTTTTGAAAATATTATAAAAAGAATTTGTAAGAACAGATAAGGTTGTGCCCAGACAATAATCACAATAAGACTACCTAATATTTATCTTTAATATTCAAGTTTTTTTCAAACATAACTGAGCAGAACTGGAAAATTCAGGGAGCCCACTCTGCCACACGTTAGTTTAACACAGGGTTCCTCAAACCCATAGCGTGTCGGCACTGTGGACCTTTGGGCAGGACGATTCTCTGCTGTGGGAGGCTGTCCAATGCACTGTAGGGTGTTTAGCAGCATCCCTGGCTTCGACACACTAGACGCCAGTAGCATCCCTAATCAAAAATGTCTCTTGACCTTGCCAAAAGTTCCCTGGGGGGCAAAATTGCTCCCTGGTTAAGAAACATCACGACTACAACAAAGCAAATACAACTGCCAGCTGTATGATTCCACTGTGAGTCAGCTGTGATTAAACCAGTTACATCTATATTTTAGTTCAAAATATATCATGACTAGAACTAAGTTAAATTACCAGTTTTTTGTATAAATTAATATACCAGTTTTTGTCTAAAGCTGAGCTGTCCAACCACTGTAGTAGTCACTAGCCACATGTAGTTACTCCAAAGTGAGATATGAAGTATAAATATGCACTGGATTTTGAAGACTTGATATTAAAAAAGGATGTAAAATATCCCATAATTTTTATGTTAACTGAACTATTTTGGTTATACTTACTGGCTGAAATATGTTATTAAAATTGATTTCACCTGCTCATTTTTACTTTTTTAACATGGCTACTAGAAAATTCTAAATTACATATATGGCTCACATTCTATTTCTGGTGGATGGCACTGCTCTAGAAACTCGAAATGACTTAGTATTATTTTTTAATGAAATAAATTCTTAAGTCTATCAAAAAGCCAAAAAACTCTGGAAAGCTCGCCAGAGCCCTATGACATCAACTCACTTTGAGCATCATAACTCTTTATCATGCCTAGATGATTTTTCTGCTTCTTTAAACCAATTGCTTCTATTCCAATGCTTTATTCTCAATGTTTCAGTCAGTTCTTTTCTAATTGCTGATTTATCTTCATGCTGTTCTTCATCACTCTCCTGCACACCAGTTTCTTTCATATACTCAGGACCTTTCCTAGCGGAATGTCGAGATGCTGCAGCTTCCATCATACTTAGAAAATCATAAGCAGGAAGAGGAGGTTTCCATTCCTGAGCAGGTAAAATTGCTGAAAGGAAGATATGATCAATGGTTAAAGATGAACAGATATAAAATCATCACACAAATATACTAGAAAATGTTTTGTTTTGAAAAACATATTTGTAAGAGTGAAGGCTTTATCAGTTTTACTTATCTAAGCAAAACTAGATTATTTTTATTGTCATTGTCCAAGGAACTTGATACATTTATCATACTAGTCATTTTCATTTTTTATATTACATTTGCAGGCTATTATATTCTAAATAAAGGTTAGCATTAATAGGAGAAAAAAACCCAAAAGGTCGATAATCTCACTGCTGGTTAACCCTTCTTGAGGTTTTAAAAAATAGCCATATGTGCAATGAGATCACACACAGACAGAAAGAAGCCTGTGGCGTCCCTCCCTGCCAGCCTTTATCCCGAAGAACTAGAACTATTTCCTATGAATAACTCCAAAAAATTTTTTTGAATGTACAATTTATTTTATCATTTAGACAAGTATTTCCTTACACTTTAAAGCATTTTTGTTTTTGAAGCTTTTGCTTAACATCCTTTCCATATACTTTATGAAAAGAAGCTCATTTTATAAAAATAATTGTAGACAAGGAATAATTAAAAACTGCTATGGAATCGCCTGTACTATAAACAGACAGCGATTAGATGACTTCTCAGACGGGCTCCACAGTAGTAAATCTTAACGTTATTTTAAAACACTGATTGCTTGAAGAGGAAAGCTGATTTAAGCTGATAACATACATGAGAGAAATTAGCTAACTTTTCTCCACTTAGTAGACAGATTTTACAAAACAATTTTAGAATTTAGTTGCCCATTTAAAATACTATTTTGAGAAATAAACTATATAAGTAAATGTACAAAGTAAATCTTTTAAAAGTAAATTCCAGTAAAAGAATCTCTACACTGTTAAGTGAAAAAATAAATATTCATAAAATACAAACTTAAGCATCTCTCATAAATCAAATAAATATCTTTAAAAGTTTAGGAAATTCATATAAATTCTAATTTCCTAGAGTGAATTAAAGCTCAAGCAAAAATCTGCATAAATAGTATATCCATACTCTTATTGGTATGTAATTTCTTTACTCAGACTCAGTTATATGAAATCCTAGTACATGGAACATCCGCAGGGTATTAATTCAGGCTACCCTTGTAATTGATGTTTCAAATTACTGTTGCCAGGTTAGCAGATTCAAAAGTGACAAACGAATAGATTATTTTCTCTTGAATATAACAAATAGGTAGGAGGTTAGAATAACTGTTTGTAGTCTGCAATATTCAGATAAAGTATCTTTATTAAAGATATTAAAAGAATCTTTAATAAAAGTCCAATTCAAAGCATAGCATATATTTAGCAATGTTTATTTTTTAAAGTAAACACTGCAGCCTAGTGGTCTGAGATGATGACAAAATGCCTGAAACTGGCCATCACAATTCTGCTTATTATTTGCTGAGGGAACTCTACAAAGGTCTGAAAGTTTTCAATTGCAAATAAAACTGTACTCTCATCATGCATGGGTAATAAATACATTATTATCAAATTAGTAATGATAATAATAATAGCTAACATTTATTAAGCCTTTACTATACACCAGGCATTATCCATTTAATCTTGAGATAAGTACAATTATTATCCCAATTTTATAGATGAGAAAACCAAGGCCTAGAAAAGTCACGGAAGTTGACCAAAGTTAAGCGCAAATCTCAAATAAGAAGAGCCAGTGGTCACAATTTCATAGAAATTAAGATGTGTAGCAAGCAAGGTGAGGCAGACACCTGTGGCACTGTGTTACACATTCAGGCTATTTCAAGAGTTGCTGCCACACCCCCGTCTCAGATCCATCTCCCAAAGAGTGTGAGAGCAGGTCCAGCCAGCACAGAAGACGGGATCCAGTACAGAAAAGCACTGCCTCAAAGAATTGGCAAAGGCATTCATTAACAAAATTACAGTGGAAGATATACCAGCCTCTCAGGAAACTCAGAAGAATTCTGATTCTTTCCTCTTGGTAATGGTTTGAGTTGAAGAATCAAAGCCCCTAAGGATGCTTCTTGGAGGAAAGGATCATTACATGAACAATGATAATACTTCAGAGATTTTACACTTTACAGAGTGCCTTTGTGTACATAATTTTATTTGATTTTTAAAATAACTATGTAGTCAGAGTAGGAACCATTAATCTCATTTTATAGTTATAGAGGAAGAAACAAAGAAAGACTTGCCTAGAGCCACAGTTAGCAATCAAGGAGGTGGGGTCATAAGTTCAGGTTTCTGTGTCTTTGAACATCACCACCTGTCTTAAAGCAATTCAGTTTGAGAGGTACTCTGGCCCTAACTAGATATAAACCTATCTGACTTAGTCAGAGTCCATGGGGCGTCTGTGTCACAGCAGCTGCATAATGACAACACTCATTTAATTCTATAAAATAGCAATGCAGACAGAGAAGTGAACACAGAATATCAGAAGAGTTCAAGAGTTACAACTGAAAGGACCCCTATACCATGTGGCTATCACTCGGAGACGAGTGATAATCACAGAAAGGGCTCCTTCCAGATTATGACTTAAACAAATAGTCAATTTAAGTAATTTTTCACATTTCCTAGGAAAATATTAAAACTAACAAATTATCTCAGAAAATTACGACTCAAAAGTACCACCTAAAAGGACCCAGAATAGCCAAAATAATCTTGGAAATGAAGAACAAAGTTGGAGGAATCAAATTTCCCAATTTACAATCTACTACAAAGTTGCAGTATTCAAGACAGTGTGATGCTAGCATAAGGCATCTGTATATCTGACAGATGCAAAACTATGTACAGGAATGTTCAGAGCAGCATTATTCATAATAAGCAAAAAGTAGAGACAACTCAAATGTCCATCAACTGATGGAGCAACAAAATGTGGTATATCCACACAATAGAATATTATTCATTCATAAAAAGGAATGAACTACTGAATGATCCTTGAAACCTATGCTAAGACAAAGAAGCCAGACAAAAAGGCCACATGCGATATGATTCCATTTATATGAAAGATCCAGATTAGGCAAATCCATAAAGACAGAAAGTAAATTAGTGGTTGCCAGAGGATGGAGGGAGGGGAAAATGGGAGTGACTGCTAATGGGCATGGGGTTTCTTTGTGGGGTGATGAAAATGTTCTAGAATTCAATAGTGGTAATGGTTGCACAGCCTTGTGAATATACTAAAAACCCCTGCATTGTACACTTTAAAAGGGTGAATTTTATGGCATATGCATTATGTTTCAATATAAAATTACTACCTATAGCCTACTTAAACACAATAATTTAGTTAAAATTGCCTAACTTAATAGAAATGAAGCAGAGCACCTGGGAAGAACAGGTGTGCTGCAATGATTGACACAAAATAAAGTCAAGTGTCTGATTAAATACACACAAATACACATAATGGTAGATTCATCCTATGCATGCTGGCTCCGAGACAATATAACACTGAATTGGAGTTTGTCCACCACAATCATGTGTGTGTATTTGTATACATGTATATTCATATATACACACACACACCCTTATTTCAGGACTCTGCCATGGAATAGTATCAAAATATTATTATAATATAGTTCATCTGGATCCAATAACAAAATCCTTGGATAGTACCTTAGGAGACTTTTTATTACATCAAATTTCACACTATTTCCTTGATATACCAACGACCTGGATTATTACATGTTAATTTATTTAGAGCAACAGGCCTACTGTTGGCACAACTGTATTTAAATTAGCATATACATCTATAACACAAGTATAAATTCACATATGTTTTAGAAAAGTTGAGGCTATGGCACGTCATAAACCAGCATCATAAATTCTGGGCCAAGATCTATTTTCTTGTGGTTCAAAATTCTGGCTCTGGAGTTGAAGAGATGTAGGTTAGAATCCAAAGCTTCCTCACTTACTGGTTAGTTATACAACTTTGAACTAGTTACTTAACTCTTCTACAGGTAATAATATTTCACATGACTCTAGTAAGAATTACATGAGATAATGCACGTGAATCACTCAGCATTGTGCTAGACACCTAGGAAGCATTCAATAAATGTGAGCTATTATTACCAAATTCAATACAGTGTACCTATTTTCTGTGGGTAATGATACCTATGAGATAGGAGTTGTCCCATGTACAACGCTATCAGCTTATTAATATTGGGGTTATTTATAAACATTACAATTCAACTCATTCTAGCTTTCATTAGCTATACTTCAAGTTTTAAAATCTATGAGGCAAAATACAGAACAGTGTGTTAAAACAGAAAACTTACTGATATGACTTTCTAGTCCTGCTTCCAATTTCTTAAGCCACAATAAAAGGTTCTGCTCACTTATGGCCTGGTCTGACGGAAATGCGAACACCTGGCCGCCTGAGTGCAAATTCACCACAACAAGAAGAGGTAGGGGAGGCAGAGTATCAAAATACGCCTGCAAGATTCCTCTCCCCACAGGGGTATTCTTTCTATGAAAGGGAGCAATTGAACATGTTAATATTTCTTCTATAACAAAATAATGAAAACAACAGTTTGTAGAACATTAACCTTTAAATACAGTATCACACCAATAAGTTTATTTTATGAAGAGATGTCCTAAAAACCAAGAAGTATATAACTAAGTTACCAGTAATCAGAGTATTAAAAAGTTTCTTCTTTTAACATGGGGCACTGTGTTTCTCTTAGGAGGAAAAAAAGCAGCCAGTGAGAGTTTTAATGAAAAACAGGTATAGTACAAAGGCTTGCGAATTTCAGCTTAATAGAATCAATTAGTTCCTTCCAAAGTTTAGCCAAGTATCTGATCACATGTCAGCTCAAAAATTAAATGGTTACAAGGGCCACCCCAGTGGCACAGCAGTTAAGTTCACATGCTCTGCTTCAGCGGCCCAGGAGGGTTCACTGGTTTGGATCCCAGGTGCAGGGCTACACAGCGCTTACCAAGCCATGCTGTGGTTTGTGGCATCCCACATATAAGAAAAAAAAAAGAGAGACGAAGATGGGCACAGATTTTAGCTCAGGGCCAATTTTCCTCAGCAAAAAAAAGAGGAGGGTTGGTGGCTACTAATAGCTCTGGGGTAATCTTCCTCAAAAAAAAAAAAGAAATTAAATGGTTACAAACTATAAAATAACAAGATACTTATAATAAACACTTCTTTTCTGAACAGAATTGTGTCTTTCCTCAGGAAAAAAGAAAGGATTAATTTCAAATTAAAAAGATTTTAAAAAATTATGTTCATCCAAGGAAACTATATGTTTAACATACCTAGTTTTCCTAATACAGCACATGCCACATTATGGAAAATACTATTTTACTCCAAGATGCCTACAAAGATAATTACCTTGGGAAAACTTTTTCTCAAGCAGTGGGTTGTACTGTTAGTGAACTCTTCACAACAAAAACATACACTGGTTCATTCTTGTACTTTTTTCAAATGAGTTAAAAATAAAATGTCTTTCATCTGGCGAATCTGAACAATGGATACTGTGTATATACGTGAACTGTGTTCACAGATATTAAATGTAACACAAGCCATACATCTAAACATACCAGGAAATATTCTTGGTGAATGCACTGAAAACTTAACATTTTAAAACTACAGAATTATAGGAAAAAGAACTGAATAAAAATATCAAAATATCACAATGTTTATTTTTCTGTATTTGTCAAGTTTTCCTCAATGAACATCACTTTTAAAATCAGAAAAATCATTACTTTTAAAAAGGTACTGTATGACACCAAAAGCAACAAAAGCAAAAATAAACAAATGGGACTACATCAAACTAAAAAGCTTCTGCACAGCAACAGAAACCATCAACAAAATGAAAAGGCAATGGACAGAATAGGAGAAAATATTTGCAAGTTATTTAATAAAGGGTTAATATCCAACATAACTAAAAAACTCACATAACTCAATAGTTTAAAAAAAACCAATTAAAAAATGGGCAGGGTCGGCCCAGTGGGGTAGTGGTTGAGTTCGTGCACTCCACTTCAGCAGCCTGGGGTTCACTGGTTCAGATCCCAGGTGCAGACCTATGCACCGCTTGTCAAGCCAAGCTGTGGCAGGCGTCGCACATATAAAATAGAGGAAGATGTGCACAGATGTTACTTCAGGGCCAGTCTTCCTCAGCAAAAAGGATTGGTGGCAGATGTTAGCTCAGGGCTAATCTTCCTCCAAACAAAAAAAGGGCAGAGGAACTAAATAGACATTTTGCAAAGAAGACAAAAAAATTGCCAAAAGGTATGTGAAAAGATGCTCAAAATTACTAATCATCAGGGAAATGCAAATCAAAACCACCATATCATCTCACACCTGTTAGATGGCTATTATCAAAAAGACAAGAGATAAGTGTTGATGTGAATGTGGAGAAAAGAGAACCCTTGTGCACTGTCAGTGGGAATGCAAATTGGTGCAACCCTATGGAAAACAGTATGGAGGTTCCTCAGAAAATAAAACATAGACTACCACATGACGCAGCTATCCCACTTCTGAGGATGTATCTAAAAGAAATGAAAACAGGATACTGAAGAGATATCTGTACCCCTACGTTCACTGCAGCATTATTTACAAGAGCCAAGACATGGAAACAACCTAAGTGTCTGTCAATGGATGAAGAGATGAAGATGTGGTAAATATATATATGGACTATTACTCAGCCATGAGAAAGAACAAAATCCTGCCATTTGCTACAATATGGATGGAGCTTAAAGGCATTATGCTAAGTGAAATAAGCCAGACAGAGAAAAATACTACATGCTATCACGTATATGTGGAATCTAAAAAAAAAGTCAAACTCATAGACACAGAGAGCAGAAAAGTGGTTGCCAGGGACTGAGGGGTGGGAGAAATAGGGAGAGGTTGGTAAAAGGGTACAAACTTTCATCTATAAGATGAATAAGGTCTGAGGATCTAATGTTAAGTCTGGTGACTACAGTTTAATAACACTGTATTGCAAAGAGAGTAGAACTTAAATGTTCTCACCCTCCTCAAAAAATTTATGTATGTGTATACGTATTTATATATATCTGCATATGTATATGTATGTATACATATATATATATATGAGGTGATGGATATGTTAATTAACTAGATGAAGGGATCTTTTCACAGAACAGACATCAAATCATCACAATGTACACTTTAAATATCTTATAGCTTTATTTGTCAATTATACTTCAAAAAACAAATAACAGCAAAAAAAAAATAACAGCAAAAAAAATGCATTGTAGAACAGAATTCAATCTAAAACAAGGTCAATCTCATACCATCTGAGGGAGTTTAGTTACTAAAATACCATGATAACATAAACACTGGTCCCATAATATTAACTCCAAAGGTAGAATTAGAGAGATTCATTTCCTAATGAAAATGTAATAACAATTATACTTTCTTTACCTTTTGCACATTAAAAAATAAAAATATACTTACAAATTTAACCAGCAAGGGGTGAGTGAATCCAGGTGTTTCTCTTTTACCAGCGTCAATATTGCTTTTTTATACTGAGGAATTATGCTGCCATCACTGAATAAAATAAGCAATGGTTTCTGAAGTCTTAAATAAGTGGGAAGATTTTCCACAGTGATTTCTGGCTGTTTAAAAAAAAAAACAGCCCATGAGGAATAACGATGCATAAAATAGAAAATAACATTCAAATCACTCATGAAATTTTAGTTTGTAAAATGTAATTTAAACATATTTTCACTTAAGCAGAGATTTTGCTATACTCACTAATAACTATGGATCTTGAGTCTTTTATTTAAGTCTACTTTAACTTAATAATGAGTTACTTGTTTTCAAAATAAAACCACTAATAGAATTCAAAAATAAATTAACTCAAAGGAGCTCCCTGTTTTACAAGGATGAGACACTTCTAATAATTTCCTATGCCGAAATCTGGACCAGACTAGCTGACACCCATATGACAAACAAAACTCTTGTTATATGTTTTCTCTAACATAAAATTTTTGAAAAAAATATAAGCTGTTTTAAAAATATAATCTTTTAATGTCTATGATTACTTAAAAATTAATAAAACCTTACTTTGTTTCAGTATTATGGATTTTTACCATAATTAAAATAATAAAAAAATCTAAAATAAATTTTTTAAAGTCTATTTCTTTTCAGTTTAAAATAACAAAGAAAGAATTTAATATGAAATAAGAAACCTAACCCTTTTACTCTTTTTATTAATTATATATTTGTATAAGACAATTTGTCTAGGCTGTTATTAACAAAAATTGGAAAGAGAAACAAACAATATTAATATATTTAGGATTGAAAATAGCAATGACTTAGAATATCAAAGCCTTCTACCATTTTTCGTTTTAGTTTCACAACTATTATTTCATCTTATGGATATACCTGTGATGTAGATCAAATCACCCTACATCAGATAAATGATCCCCAGCTGACAGATGAGGAAACCAACAAAGAGAAGCTGACCTGCTGCAGTCACACAGCTAGCCAGGAGGAAGAGTTGAAACTAGCCCCCAGCATCCTGCTCTCCAGCTCCCCATGACCTCATATCACACCAGAAATCCAAAGGAACAATTTTATTTTCTTCATGGTGCCAACCACCTCTGGACACAGTACTGGTTCATCCTCAAACACCGAACTCTGGCATATACTTTTCCCTATCTAGTTCTCAAAGCCACTTTTCCTCTGCCAATTCTCATTTTTCTTCAAATTTTTTCTCTTTCACATTTAAAATCCTCTTCTTGCACCTTCCTTTTTCACGACTTAATTCTTAGATCACTTCTTCTCCAAATTCCCCTATGTTGTCTTCTTGTGTTAATTATCCTCTTTAATTTTCTACCAAGGTAATATCCCCTTGTTAAAACTGACAGATCTTATCAAGCCAGCAGATTTCCTCACTCGGAACAGAATCAAAACATAGGTGAGATGGAGCCATCACTCCTCAATTCAAACATTTATTGAGAACCACGAAGTTCAAGATGTTATGCTGAGTACTGAATCCAAAAGAGATAAGATACTTTCCCTGCCCTCAAGGAATTCATACTTTAGAGGAGGAGAAAGTTATACAACTGCCGTGATCCAAGAAAAAAATTAATGTGTGACAATAAAGAAAACTATTGGTTCAAATTAAGATAACAAAAAAGGTAGGGAAACTCAAAGATGATTTTAGGAAGTGATACTTGATCTGAGCCATGGATAAGGAATAAGATCTTGATGTGTGTGTGCTAGAGTAGGGGTTCCAGATATAGGGAGCATCACGATGACAGGCAGAGAGGTGTTAAAGCAAACATAGTATCTAGGAACAATGAGAGCGAAGTATGCCAGACTTAGGCACACAAGACACAAATGTGGCTGTAAGAACAGATGCGAAAATGACTTGATAGGTTCTTTGGCATTGCAGCAACACTGAGAAGGTTTTGTATCAAATGAGTGACATGGCTAGGTCTGTTCTAGATGACTAACTGGAATATGAATTTGCAGAAAGACAGACCTGTGACAGGCATTGCTTTTTCCTATGTCTGTCAGGAAAGAAAGACCAAGAGTTCTGTAACTTTAGAAGGAAAGTTGAGATCATAAACACAGATTTAGTCATCATCAGCTGGTATAATGATGGTAGAAGTTCTGGGTATGGATAAAATTTCCCAAAGAAAGGACATAGCAAAAGGAGAAAAAAGGGTTGAAGATGTAATTATAGTGGCCAGAGGCTTAAAGGAGTATCTGGAGAGGAAAGAATTACAAACGTTAGAGGAAGAGAGAACTTTTGACAGAATGGCATAGTTAACAGTTTTGATTGCTGAGAGGCTAAGGAAAAACAGAAAAGGTCCTCAAACATAGTAATTGAAAGGTGACTTCTACTATCTGAGTATATAAGAGGCTATAATTGTGTGGGTTCTGGTATTCCTATCCATAACAAAAGCATAAAAAAGGGAATTCAATGTATCGGTGAAAAGTGCTAAAGATATTTCCTAACTAACAGTTCTAAGTGTGACAACCTTGGATATATCATTGCTTATGTAGTTAATTATCATATATTTCAGATTTGGACATTATTTACCTGGGCTATGTGTCATGAGGTTCATTAAAATAAAAATTTGAGAGGCTGGCCGTGGCGTAATGATTAAGTTTGTGCACTCCGCTTTGGTGGCCCAGGGTTCATGGGTTCAGCTCCCAGGTGTGGACCTGGCACTGCTCATCAAGCCACACTGTGGCAGCATCCCATATAAAATGGAGGAAGATTGGCACAGATGTTAGCTCAGCAACAGTCTCCCTCAAGCAAACACATGAAGACTGGCAACAGATGTTAGCTCAGGGCCAATCTTCCTCACAAAAGAAAAGAAAAATTTGATACCATATAAAAATGTTTACCTGGAGTGACGTCAGCATCATGGCAGAGTGAGCTCTCCCCTTAGACTCTCCCTTCTAAGATACAATGAAAAGGACATTCATACACCAACAGAGGACATTCACAAAACACAACAGACATGTAAGAGACCCACACAGCCATATGTCTGAAGGTGGACGTGCTGGACCCCCCAGAGGAAGTGGAAGGATGTAACGGGAATCTTCTCTCCCGAAAAGCAGCAACCCAGGGACTGCATGCAGCTCTGAGAGGAGAAGGGGATGGGGCAGCCCTCTGCCAGAACACCATCATTCTCCAAGTTCCCTCTCAGTTCAGGAAAGCCCCAAGGAGAGGTAACTAAGCTTGTAGGGGAGGTAACTAAGCTTGTAGGGGCCATCTTCATCAAGCTAGCACCCCAGGAGAGAAGACAGCGAGGGCCGACTAAGAACTCCAGTGGGATCATGCACGTGAAAGAAAGCGCCCCACCCCCTGCCCGGCACTCCAGCTCAGCCAGTCAGCCAGAGTGCGCACAGAGAGAAAAGCAGCCAGTGGCTGGAGCAAGTGAGCCACAGATCATAGCAGCATCAGAATATACAGCCCCTGACTCCCACTCAGTGGTGGCAGGCGGAAGCTGTGACCAGATACTATCACTATGCAGAGGCAAAAAGCCACAACATCAAGCAGTATGAAAAAGTATCTTAAATCTCCAGACCAGAAATCAATCCTGAAGGCACAGAAATTTATAATCTAAATAACAGAGAATTCAAAATAACTATCATAAAAAACCTCAATGAGTTACAAGAAAATACAGATAGACAGTTCAGTGAAATCAGGAACTATTTCAAAAGGAGATCAAAACTATAAAGAAGAACCAATCAGAAATATTTGAGAGGAAAAACACAATGGACGAGATAAAGAAAAACCGGGAGTCCCTAAACAATAGAGCTGATACAATGGACGACAGAATTAGCAATTTAAAGGACAGAAATATAGAAATGCTTCAGATGGAGGAGAGAGAACTAAGACTAAAAGGAAATGAAATGAAGAAATTCTCTTGGAAATATCCAACTCAATTAGCAAATGCAACAACAGGATTACAGGTAGTCCAGAGGGAGAAGAGAAGAAGAATGGAGCAGAAAGTTTGTTCACAGAAATAAGAGTTGAGAACTTCCCAAACCTGGGTGAGAGGCTGGAAATACAGGTGAAAGAATCCTGTAGATCTCCTAACTATAGCAATGTAAAAAGACCTTCTACAAGGCATATAGTAGTAAAGCTGGCAAAAGTCAATGACAAGGAAAAAATATCAAGGGCAGCAAGGGAGAAGAAAGTAACTTACAAAGGAAGCCCTATCAGGGTTTCAGCAGATTTCTCAGCAGAAATCTTACAGGCTAGGAGAGAGTGGAATGATATATTGAAAACTCTGAAAGACAGAAACTTTCAGCCAAGTATACTCTATCCAGAAAAAATATCCTTCAGATATGATGGAGAAATAAAAACTTTCCAAGATAAACAAAAGTTAACGGAGTTTATCAACACAAGACCCTCCCCGTTCACAAGAAATGCTCAAGAAGGCCCTCATACCTGAAAAAAAAAAGAGGGGGGGGGGCTACAAAGCCCTGAACAAGGAGAGAAATAGGCAGGCAAAATCAGAAAACTACAGCTCTCTATCAGAACAGGTTAGCAAACACTTAATTATAAAATTAAAGATAAAGGGAAGTAATACACCAAAAATAATCTCATCATTTTAACCACAAACTCATAATACAAGATGGAACAAATGTGAGAATAATAACTTAGAAAAGGAAGAGGAAAGAGATGGAATCAGCTTAGTCTAATGAAATAAGTGGCCGTCAGAATGGACTCTCTCACCTATGATATTTTTATACAAACCTAATGGCAACCTCTAAACAAATAATGAGAACAGAGACACAAAGGATAAATGAGGAGATAACTAAGAAAATCATCATAGAAAACTACCTAACTGAATTGGTAGTCCAAAATACATACGATGAGAAACAAAGTAAAGGCAGAAGAACCAGAAAACAAGCGATAAAATGGTAGCATTAGCCCTCATATATCAATAATCACTCTAAATGTTAATGGATTGAATTCTCCAATCAAAAGTCACACAATGGCTGGATGGATTTAAAAACAAGACCCAACAATATGCTGCTTCCAGGAAACACATCTCAGCTCCAAAGACAAACACAGGCTCAGAGTGAAGGGACGAAAAAAGATATTCCAAGCTAATGGCAAACAGGAGACAGTAGGTGTTGCCATACTTATATTAGACAAAGTAGACGTCAAGATAAAACAGGTAAAGAGAGACAATGAGGGGCAGTATATAATGATAAAAGGGACATTCCACAAAGAACATATAACATCTATAAATATCTATGCACCCAACACAGGAGCACCAAAGTATATAAAGCAACTATTAACAAACCTAAAAGGAGACATTAACAAAAGGCAATAATAGTAGGGGACTTCAACACCCCACTTACATCAATGGACAGATCATCTAGACAGAAAGTCAACAAGAAATAACTGAATTAAATGAAAAATTAGATCAGATGGACTTCATAGATATATATAGAACACTCTAACCAAAAACAGAAGACTACACATTCTTCTCAAGTGTGCATAGAACATTCTCAAGTATAGACCATATGTTGGGAAATAAGGCAAACCTCAATGAATTTATAAGAAGATTGAAATCATATCAAGCACCTTTTCTGACCATAATTCTATGAAACTAAAACTCAACTACAAGAAAAAAGCTGTGAAAGTGACAAATATGTGGAGACTAAACAACATGCTACTGACTAACAAATGGATCACTGAAGAAATTAAAGGAGAAACCAAAAAATATCTGGAGACAGATGAAAATGAAAACACACCATACCAACTCATATGGGATGCAGCAAAAGCAGTCCTAAGAGGCAAATCATAGCAATACAGGCCCACCTTAACAAACAAGAAAAATTTCAAATAAGCAATCTTAAACTACACCAAACAGAATGAGAAAAAGAAGAACAAACAAAGCCCAAACCTGGCAGGAGAAAAATAATTAAAAAGAGCAGAAATAAATGAAATTGAAACAAAGACAGTAGAAAGGATCAATGAAATGAAGAGCTGGTTATTTGAGAAGATACACAAAATTTACGAATCTGTACCCAAACTCACTATGAAAAAAAGAGAGAAGGCTCAAACAAATAAAATTAGAAATGAAAGAGGAGAAATTATAATGAATACCACAGAATTACAAAAGATTATAAGAGAATATTATGAAAAACTATAGTCCAACAAATTGGACAACTAGAAGAAATGGATAAATTCTTAGACTCCTACTACCTCCCAAAACTGAATCAAGAAGAAATCAAGAATCTGAATAGATCAATCACAAGTAAAGAGATTGAAAAAGTAATCAAAAACCTCCTAAAAAATAAAAGTCCAGGATCAGATAGCTTCTCTGGAGAAGTCAACTAAACATTCAAAGATTTAGTAACTATTCTCCCAAACAATTCCTAGAAATTGAGGAAGACAGAACACTTCCTAACACGTTGTATGAGGCCAACATCACCCTGATACCAAAGCCACACAAGGACAATACAAAGAAGGAAAATTATAGGCCAAAATCACTGATGAACATAGATGCAAAAATCCTCAACAAAATATTGGCAAACTGAATACAGTAAAACATTAAAAAGATCATACATCATGATCAAGTGGTATTTATCACCAGGGACACAGAGATGGTTCAACATTCGCAAATCAATCAATGTGATACACCACATAACAAAAGGAGGAATAAAAACCACACAATCATCTCAACAAACGCAGAGAAAGCATTTGTCAAGACCCAAATCCATTCATGATAAAAACTCTCAATAAAATGGGTATAAAAGGAAAGTACCTCAACATAATAAAGGCCATATACAACAAACCCACAGCCAACATCATACTCAATGGGGAAAAACTGAAAGCCATCCCTCTGAGATCAGGAACAAGAAAAGGATGCCCACTCTCACCATTCTTATTCAACATAGTACTGGAGGTTTTGGCCAGAGAAATTATGCAAGAAAAAGAAACGAAAGCTATCCAAAGGCAAGGAAGAAGTGAAACTCTTCCTATTTGTGAACAACATGATTTCATACATAGAAAACCCCAAATAACCTATAAGACAACTATTAGAAATAATCAACAACTACAGCAAAGTTGCAGGATACAGAAGCAACTAAGAAAAATCAATTGCATTTCTATATTCTAATAAACTAACAGAAAGAGAACTCAAGAATATAATCCCATTTACAATCACAACAAAAAGAATAAAATATCTATAAATAAATTTAACAAAGGAGGTGAAAGACCTATACAATGAAAACTATAAGACATTATTGAAAAAAAATCGATGATGACATAAAAAAATTGAAAAATATATCATGCACACAGATTGGAAGAATAAACACAGTTAAAATGTCCATACTACCTAAAGCAATCTACAGATTCAATGCAATCCCAATCAGAATCCCAATGACATTCTTCACAGAAACAGAACAAAGAATCCTAAAATTCATATGGGGCAACAAAAGACCCCAAATAGCTAAAGCAATCCTGAGAAAAAAGAACAAAGCTGGAGATACCCACAATCCCTGAATTCAAAATATACTACAAAGCTATAGTAATCAAAGCATCATGGTACTGATACGAAAATAGACACACAGATCAATGGAAGAGAACTGCAAGCGCAGAAATAAAACCACACATCTATGGACAGCTAATCTTCAACAAAGGAGCTAAGAATATACAATGGAGAAAACGTCTCCTCAAAAAATGGTGTTGGGACAACTGGACAGCAACATGCAAAAGAATGAAAGTAGACCATTATCTTTCACCATACACAAAAATCAACTGAAAGTGGATCAAAGACTTGAGGGTAACATCTGAAACCATAAAACTTCTAGAAGAAAATATAGGCAATTCACTCTTTGACATCGGTCTTAGCAGCATCTTCTTGAATACCATGTCTACTTGGACAAGGGAAACAAAAGAAAAAATAAACAAGAGGAACTTCAACAAACTAAAGAGCTTCTGTGAGACAAAGGAAACCAAGAACAAAACAAAAAGACAATCCACCAAATGGGAGAAAATAGTGCAAATCATATATCCAACAGGAGTTCATCTCCATAATATATAAAGAATTCACATAACTGAACAACACAATCAAAAAACAGGCAGAAGATATGAACAGACATTTTTCCAAAAAACATATACAGATGGTCAATAAACACATGAAAAGATGTTCAATATCACTAATCATCAGGAAAATGCAAATCAAAACTACACTTAGATATCACCTTACACCTGTTAGAATGGCTATAATTACCAAGACAAAAAACAACAAATGTTGGAGAGGGTGTGGAGAGAAGGGAACCCTCATACCCTGAAGGTGGGAATGCAAACTGGTGCAGCCACTGTGGAAAACAGTATGGAGATTTCTCAAAAAGTTAAAAATAGAAATACCATATGACACAGCTATCCCACCATTGGCTATTTATCCAAAGAACTTGAAATCAACAATACAAAGGGACTTATGCACCCCTATGTTCATTGCAGCCTTATTCACAATAGCCAAGATATGGAAGCAACCCAAGTGCCCAGTGACTGACGGATGGATAAAGATGACGTGGTTTATATATACAATGGAATACCACTCAGCCATAAAAAAAAGACAGAATCATCCCATTTGCAACAACATGGATGGACCTTGAGGGTATTATATTAAGTGAAATAAGCCAGACAAAGACAAACACCATATGATTTCACTCATATGTGGAAGATAAACTAACATATAGTGCTCCTTATGTCACTTTAGAAATGTAGAAAAGCATAAATTTATAATATTCTAGCTATGTTTAGTATAAACTCAAAACAACTGAAATCAAGAAATGCAGGTTACATCTGTTGTACCCCTGAATCCACTATTATACAAGGTAAGCATTGGAAAAGGCCTTTCATAAGACAATATTTTGTTCTAAAACTGGATAAATAATAAGAATACTGGAAAATACTCTCTGCAGCAGGTGCCACAATCACCTGCAGTTTACACATGTGGGAACAGAGGTGCAGAGAAGTTCACACGCAGCCAATGAGGAATCGAGCAAGGATTTGAAGCCAGGCAGTTTGACTCTCTAGAATCCATGTGCTTTATTTCAGCCTAGTTTAAGTACTTCAACTGGCCATCAGCCACACTAGTCTCAGAAATAAAAAGTAATCCAAAGACATACAAACATTTGGCAGTGGACTAGAGAAGCTGTATATATGCATAATGAGTGAACAATAAAACAGAGCTACTCAATGAATCTTCAGCTCACAAACATCTTGCCCTGTGCCAACAAAAGCTGGAAAATCATGTATTAAAATATACAATCTTTAGCTGATCTAGATTTTCTTCTTTCAGATAACACTCTTATTATAAATATACTCACAAATGTTTCCAGGAATGCATTTTTTATTATTTGAACTATGTCTTCCGCATGGGTATTAGCTAACGGAATGCTCTCTATTTTGCCTCCTTTGTGTCTGGCAAGCAGCAGGGCTGGAAGAGTTGCAGCATATTTATTTGACCTATAGAGAAATGTAGTATCAAAATTCCCAAACAAATATAGCAAGTCATCACAAACATGAACAATTAGGCCAAGAGGGCACAGTGTGAAGCAGCAAAAGAGGAGCCCTACTACTAATAAAAACATGAGCTCGAATTCCAGAGAAACGTATCTTCCCTGTGAGGCTATCTGAGGAAGTTCAGAGCCTTGGTGACCTAGGTTAACAGAAAGCAACAAACAATAATCTAGGCAGATTTTTTGTTTCTAGACAACTTACTCATAAAGAAAATGTCTAAATAGGATTAGGAACACACTGAAAGTTCTCACCCTTTGTGGACTGCTCATCAAACTCCTCAGCAAGGAGATGGGCACTTATTAGAAACCTACTATTTGCCAGCAACTATACTAGGTGCTTTTAGTTTTCATTCAGCCCTCAGAACAGCCCTATAAAGTTGCCACTATCACTCCCATTTTACAGATGAGGAAACCAGGACTCAGAGAGTGACAAATGGCAGAGACAGAATTCAAACTGAGGTACTCCAGATATAGAGTCTGTGCTCTCTCCACTGAAACAGAGCTCAAATCTGCTCCCTCCTTCTAGTACTTCTGCAAACTAAGCCTAAAAGAAAAATCACTAAACAAAACAGGAAAAAATGCTTTGTGTGAAATTACCAGTGAGGTAGCCACACTTAGATCATGTTAAAACTCAATTCATGCTAGAACAAAGTATAGACATTATAATATTATAGGTATTAGTAAAGAGCCCAGGCTTCAGATTACCTGGAGGACCCTCCTAGTTGACCAGTTAGTTATAAACAAAACACACTCTGCAAACTGCTGGTCTAGCTCTTTGGACCATAGTTAAACGCACAATGACAGCAGAATACAAAATAGTGGGTGACTGACTGTCCATCTATCAGGTGAACAGGTCTCACATTCTCTAAAGTTCTGGAGTTCAGCATGTACTTTTCAAAAATTACTGATTTCATGGGTAGAACAGAAGCTTGATCATCAAAAGCATATGTCACCAACATGCAGGATGAAAGACTTAAGGTCACAAATCACAATTAGGAATATTAGAGTCAGAACTTAATAAAGACAAACTAGGGCTTAACAACTCAACTTGCATCTGAAAATAAGCCACTAATGCAGAATGTGATGTGTATTGATAATAATCTCCACGTTTTCGGTTCAGTCCTTCATTCTGCAGCAACTAAAATATTTGATAGTTCACAGGAGTCCCCAAATTATACAAATAAAGCCACCTTAGTGGCTAAAAAAGCACTGATTAAATGTATGTTTGCAATAGCTTAAAATTAGTTAGAACTATCAGGTACAGTCGCATCACCTAAAATTCTGGGAGAAATATGGAAAAATTATGATTTTTATGTCTAATTTAGTGTCAAATCAAAACCTAGACACTCAAGAAGTACAGTTTCCCAAAAAATGATAACTCCCAAGAATCAAAACTGCAGCTAACAGAATCCAAAGAGGAAATTTTTTATAGGAAAATGAAGTATTATGAATCGAGGTTGCCCTGTGGGGGCTCTAACCTAAAGTAAAAGAATACATGAAAATTCTAAATAGTGAGGCGGCACTTCACAGATTTTCCCAGAAGGAATTAAAAACTTAGCTATGGTGCTGTTCTACCTTCCTTCATCAACTGTGTAAAGATAAGCAACACAGATATGATTTTGCAAACTTCTTCCTCCCCAAAGTTAGAAGACCAATAAACTTACAATATCAAAACATCTTCTTCAGAATAAATTCCAGTGATAACACATCCTCTTAGGTAGTTTCCTGCTTCAGTGAAATCTTCTTTTGCTATAAATATACAGATAAGACAAAAATCTGAAACCTTTAAATCTATGAGTGCTATTCAACCAATAAACAAATTTATAAATGGTAGTGCTTTGTTATTAATTAATTATGAAGATAAATACTTAAGTGCAGACCTTACATAACTCAGTGGTTCTAACATAAATCTGTGTTTTTTATGACATTTGATTACTAAAGAAATGTAAGTTGATACAGTGCAACTATGATTCTCTAAGCAAATGTACTCCAAATATAATTTATAAGATTTATAGCACTCTAATCATACAGAGTTACTGAATAAATATCTGTTGCATTTTCATTTACTCCTAAGACAGAGTAAATGGAGACAGCTGTCCTACATGTAGCCTGGAAAGAGAAGCAGGGTATGTGAAATGACATACACATTATAGTCACAAAATCTAAAAATGCCTGTATGCATAGAAAAAAGTAGAAGACTGGAAATTCTAGTCCTCTAACAGTATCTGTTAGGGTTCTGTGATTAGGAGGAATTTGTTTCTTCTTTTTTATTTCTTGTATTTTTTGTAATGTGTTTTTGTTACTTTTGAACTTTGATTAATTTGTGTATCAGTCTTTTCTCATTTGTTAGGACATACATATTCAAAATAAAAACTATTATTTCTGTAGAATTCTGAATTTTCATAAATAATAGCATATTCTGGGTCATGTTATAACCAAGAAGCAAGTCTGAATTAAATAGTTGTAGACTAATGAGAAAAGAGCAGAGGTGGACTTATATGAATGATACAGTCTTGCCAAGTGAAGCCAAAAGATAGTTCAACTCAATGCATGAAAGGTTCATAGCAGTTCAAATAGAAAAACACTGATGTAAAAATTGAGTCATGTAGTAGCCAGTAGTCTGGGCACACTGAACCTAAAAGATCTGTACCTCAGCAGTCAGCACAATATTCATGATGTGAGCATCAACACTGTTAACATCAGGTAACCACAAGATCATTTTCTTTAAAAAGGATGCATACTTTCCACTGGATTGAGAAATACCGTAGGAAATCTAGCTTACTAGAGTGGCACAGTCAGCCGGCAGGCAGCATTGAGAGTTCATGTATAATCACAAATTTAATGAGAAACTAGTAACCCATGAAAATATTTTCTTTAGCCTGTGCTACACCAAAGTAGAAAAGATTCACAAGAAAACTAAGCATCTAGAAAGGACTGAGTGCCTATACTTTCATTTCTAAGAGAAAACAGGTCTAAATTCTGGTCAATAATTGAGGATTGTTATCTAAAGCAATGACATAATGGAATGTGTTTCAGCTTTCTCTTTTCTTTTTTGATACATAATAGTGGAAAATTATACTAATACTCCCATATAATTTTCTCATACAGAAGCCTTTCTACTCATGAATATGTTTCTTGAAAGTCTCTTCACGAATCCATTTGTTAATAAATCCAGGTTACTTGTGGCATGGGAACATTTAAGACTGTTGACCTAAGATGAATATCCATTTCCACTACATCAGAGTATAAATTTTCCTGTGAACATTGAAAACCAGGCATATTCTCCCCTTGGTGAAAACTGCATATATGTCAGAATATATGGCAACCCCAATAAAAGAAATAATCAGTTATCTACATAAAAAGTTTATTTAACCACTATAAATATATTTGAGATGTAACGTTAATAGTGACCTACAATATTTAGCTATTTAACTATAAACATATTTTAATTGCATAAAATAAATACATTAATTTAGCAATACTTTTTCTACTATCACATCTTATTGAATAGTTATATTCAATAACTAAACAATAAATATATTTTAAATAAATTAAATTTTATTTATTAAAATAAATTAAAAATAAATAACTAAATAATAAATAATAACAAATAAATGCACACATACAGATACATCTATTTTTTTAGCTCTGTCGGCAGAGAGAGTCAAGAAGAAAGAACACTCCAGTAACTAAAAGCACTCCTAATCCCTAAAACATGGTTTCTAAATTCAATGTCCCACTAAAAGGAACCTGAACTCCTTGGAGAAATGGCTGATTCCAGGAATGAGGCTAGAAACATTTTGTGCCAAAAGGACACATTCAAAGAATGATGGAGACATGTCAAAAGGACATAGGAGTCAGATTGAAGGGGCTCCCACTGCCCAAATCTGGGGCAATTTGAGCAAAAAAAAATGATAGTAATTGATTATAACCCATTTAATAAAATAAAAGTTCGGGCATCCACACCGATAAGCGAACAAATAAGAAGAGAAAGCTCTTTCTTACAGTAGTATGCCAACTAATAAATGCAGAAGGAATAACGGAGATAGAAATTTTCCTCTTGGCAAACATAGAAATAGCTCTTTGAGGCAATGGCCTTTAAAACTGGAGCGCAAAAGTATAATGAGAAACAGGACATTTACAGAGTTTTAAATTATATCCCCACAAGATACTTATTAATCAGAGGAAAACAGTAGAGGGACCTGGCAAATACACTAGTGGACAAAAGAGACATTTCAGCCCTTGTGGAACTCGCATTATATTAGTCTTCAAATCATTAGGATCTATATGAATAACAAATCAATATCTGATAGAAAATAAGTGCTCAGTAAATGCCAATAGTCAGTTTTTATGAGTAAAATACAAATGTACATAAAAATGTTAACAAACTCATAATAGCCTTTTACTGTTATACATTTTTTCATTCAATAGATGTTGAAGGTCCAGCAACTATCATGTGAAGAGTCTGCAAAAAACAAAAACAACAAAAAAAGAAGAGGAACTAATATCCAAACGAAAAGGCTGGCAACAATCAATCCAGTGAATAACAACAAAGCATCACATCCAGATTACATCATTCTGGCACACCAGAACTACCTGTATATAATTTAACATTATACTTTTGACTTTTGTTGACAGATAATTACATGTAAATTCTATCATCATTTGTACACAAATATGATCAATTACACTGTTCCTCGTGTTGGTCTCTTATATAAAACACAATGTGAAAAATTCCTCTCAGCATTTACAACCAGGAAAAGTTTTCACTATGAATGAGTCAGGAACCTAATTTGTATGTTGCCATTTACAATGATGATAAGATGGCAAAAATTTCATCTTTGTTTCTGGTTGCCACCAGATTGCTTAGAGTTAAGTTTTATGATCAACTGCAGTGTTTTATAGATATTCCACATAATTATCCCCTACTCTTTTATTGCTTAACTCTTATCCTTTTTTTAATGATTTTATCATGTTTGTACTTTTTATTATCTGAAGACTTTAATTCTTTTTGGAAGGAGGCCCAGTGTAAATAATGAGAACTTCAGGGCGCCAGACACTTGAGGTAGACAGTCAACAGCGGGAGCAAAAATGTTAGAAAGACAAAGGAGTAAAACAAAGACTCATTCACTTCCCATTTTCATAAAGAAAATACAAATTAAAAAGCTACGCCCTCTAGGATTTTGCCTTCTAAGACGGTAAGTCACAAAGCATACATTAATATTCTTATTATTTCTTTCTAGTAAGTTCTTTTGGCTCTTATTTTAAAAGATTTTGAAGACAAAGTTGAGAGAAAAAATTACTAGACAGAAATTGTAGAAAGCAAAATTTAATAGTTAATAGCATCCACTATATACAAATATAATGCTAGAGATGTGGATCCTCTTCCAATATAAATATCCTTAAAAGTTCATTCTGAATTTAAAATTCATCTCAAATGAAAGAAAAATAAGAAGTGGGGAGGTTTGCTAGATAAATGGTAAGAGTTATCATGTGATGAAGAAAACACTAAGGGTTTTGTTATCCAGTCAAGAGCCCATCCACAAGCAAAGGCAAGAGAATAACATTCTAAGTAATACTATTGGTCAGAAAAAATACCCTATGTGTACTGTTCCTTTAAAACTTACTGAAAGATACATTCCTATGAAGCAAGAAAAAAATAAAGAGTTAGAGTCTAAGAAAAGAGAAGTTGTAATATTAAAAGAACACTATAGCCTATGAAGCTATGTAAAACTATCACAGTAAAATTAATTGCTATAAGCACTATATCAAAGCTGAATGCAAAAGCAATTTAAAATGTATCAAAAATAAGATGAGTTAATAAACGGATAGAGGGATAGACAGATGTACAGGTATGTGTTACATCAAGTACAGTTAAAGGCTAATGGTAGACTCTAGATGGTGGGTATATGAGTGTTTGCTGTAAAATTCTCAACTTTGCTGTTTGAAAATTTTCATAATAAATGTGGAAAAAATAAATGCAAGAGATTTTTGGAAGAGAAATACATAATGCAAAAAAATAAAAGCTCAGCAATAATGATAATCTGTGTTTCATAATATGAGACCATAGAGGCTCATATAGAGAAAAAGATATAGAAGAAATTAAAAACATCATCATCTTCCAAATGAAGGAATCAAAATGATTGAAATGGTCTTTAATTTTACAGATTCCATTTTTTTTTAAAGAACACTTTCTCTAGCCCTGAAGAAAATAAAAACCAAAAGAAGTCTACTCCACACAGAAAAAAGTAAAGAAAAATAACTAAAGAAATACCAAAGAAGTATAAAACAAGCAACAGACATCTAAATAGGTCTAGACAATGTGTAAATGGTTAAAGTTCACCCAGAAGAATCCATAGGCAATAATGACAAGAAAATGTAAAAAGACAATTAAGAGACTTGACCCAATCATATATTCAATATTATAAAACTAATAGACTAAGGATCAATAGGTAAAGTGAATAAAATAGAAAACATTTAAACAGACATATATATACACATAGACATAAAAACACGGATTTAATACAGTGATGGTGAAATCAAAAAAAGAGGAAAAAACAGACAACTGTTAACTACTTAGACAGAAATAAATTTGGCCTCTAACTTCATACCATGCACTAAACTATCTAAATGATTAAAGACTTTTAAAAAAGAAAAAAAGCAAAGGACACAATTAACAGACTGAAAAGGTAACCTATGGAATGGGAGAAAATACTTGCAAATCATATATATGATAGGGATTAATATCCAGAATATATAAAGAACTCCTGCAACTCAACAACCACAATAATCCGATTAAAGAATGGGTGTAGGACTTGAACAGACATTTCTACAAAGAAGATACACAAACAGCAAACAGGTATATAAAAAGATGCTCTATATCACTAATCATTAGGAAAATACAAATCAAAACCACAACGTGTCATCACCTCACACACATTAGGATGGCTACTATCAAAAAAACAGAACATAATATTAGTTTTGGTTAGGATGTGAACAAATCAGAACTGTTGTACACTGCTGGTGAGAATGTAAAATGATGCAGCCACTTCAGAAATCAGTAAGGTGGTTCCTCAAAAAATCAAAAGTAGAATTACCATATGACCCAGCAACTCTACTTCTAGGTACAAACCCAAAAGAATTCAGAGCAGGGTCCCGAAGACACACTGGTACATCCACATTCACAGCAGCATTATTCACAATAGCCAAGAAATGGAAGCAATCCAAGTGTCCATCAACAGATGAACGGATAAAGATGTGATATGTACACACAATGGAATATTATTCAGCCTTAAAAAGGAAGGAAATTCTGACTCATGCTACAACATAGATGAGGCTCAAAAAAATTATGCTAAGCAAAATAAGCCAGTCAGAAAAAGACACTTTCTGATTCCACTTATATGAGGTACCTAGAGTAGTCAAATTCATAGAGACAGAAAGTAAATGGTGGTTGCCAGAGGCTGGGGGAAGGGGAAATGGAGAATTACTGTTTAACAAGTATAGAGTTTCAGTTTTGCAAGATGAAAAAGTTCTGGAGATTAGTTGCACAACAAGGTAAATATACTTAACACTAGTTAACTATATACTTAAAAATGGTTAAGATGGTAAATTTTACGTTATATGTACTTTGCCACAACTAAAAAAATATTCAAAGCAAAATTCAATATAAATTAGAGTAAGAAAATATTATAAATTAAAGCAAAAAGAAAATACAAGTGAATACTGTTAAGGATAACAGGGATTTTCTATAGTAAAAAGTTATGAAAGAAATCTCAAAATCAATAAATTTGAAAACAAATTTTAAACTGCTACATATAAAATTATTATTAAACAAAGTTACAAACAAACAACACACCAGGGGAAAGTAATTGGAATAAAATGACAAAAGCTTAATATCTCAATATATAAAAATCTCATAATAATTCATTACACGAGCACTAAAATCCCATTTTAAAAAATATATAACATACAGTTTATAGAAGACAAAGTTATTCTCCTATTGAGAAGCTATACCCATTAAATAGTCTAAAATCCACATAAAGACTTATAAATAAAAATATTCTTTGCATACATCAAAAAGAAAAGCGGAAGCAACAAATACTATTTATTGACAAAACAGTTAAATAAATTACAGCATATTCATCCAATCAATTATATAGCCAATGTTTTTGAAGACTATTAATCACATGGAAAAAATGCACCCATGTAACGTTAAACAAAAACAGCGAGATACTTGGGACCGACTCAGTGGCACAGGTGTTAAGTTCACACGCTCTGCTTCCAAGGCATGGGGTTTGTGGATTCGGATCCCAGGAATGGACCTACACACCACTCATCAAGCCATGCTGTGGTGGTGTCCCACATACAAAATAGAGGAAGACTTCACAGATGTTAGCTCAGCGACAATGTTCCTCAAACATAAAGAGGAAGATTGGCCACAGATGTTAGCTCAGGGTCAACCTTCCTCACCAAAAAAAAAAAAAGAAAGAAAAGAAAAGAGCACAATACTAACCTAGACACACAGTACTAGCCCAATTACATTAAAATGTATATAAAGATGCACTATATAGGTACACAGAAAAAAAAAGGGAAGGAATTACGTCAAAATTTAACAACTCTAAATAATTACAGATTTTTATTTTCTTCAAACTTTTTTGTATTTTCAAAATTCTCTATAATTTAAAAAGATGTTCCTTTTTTAAAAACTAGTAAATGAGTTTTTAATATTACCTATTAATTATATAATATAATTTAAAGGTCCAATTCTACTTACCTGTTGTCATGGTTGGACTAAAGAGCCCCAGTACTGGCCCTCTGGAATAGGAGAGCAGGTCTTGATACAATTCCCCACTTAAATATTCCTCTGCTTCTTGCACAGATGTTATGTTCACCGGACATGAAATCCTGTTGCTGGATGAATATATAACTATATTCAAAATTAACATTTAAAAATACTTTTCAACTTGTAAAAGATATAAAACATACTGAACTTAGCAAACACTATATTCCACATGATAAATATCTGACAAAATAAAGACAATTAAACAGAAAGTCACCCTTGTTAAAGAAAACCTCTCTCCCCCCAAAAATGATGGAATGTGGATGGACTCTCCTCATCTACGTTTATCCTGAGATCTCAATTCACACATCCTTAACCTATTCAAAGTGTGTCAACAACGTACGAGAATTAGAAGTTTTCTAGACCTAAAAATTTAAAAATCTTAGGGTGAAGCTAAATACTTACAGCTGGATAAATTTTAGGAGATCTTCAGTTCCTAACATACCAGCATAAGATACTGGGTTCCCTCCTTCCTTGTACATCTTTACAACAGGAAATTCAGTAACGTTGTGCTTGGTGCACACACCAGACCAATCTGCACAGTTTACTCTAGTAAGCAGCATAGTGGGTGTGTCTAAGGAAAAGGAAAATGCACACTTTGCAAATATTAATGTAGAAAACTCAGTTTTTACCATAAGATCTCACTCATAAATAGAAGATAAAAACAACAAACACACAGAGACAGAGATTGGATTAGCAGTTACCAGAGGAGAAGCGGGGAGTGAGGAGGGTGGAAGGGGTCACTGGGCATGTGTGTGTGATGATGGATGGTATTAGTCTTCGGGTGGGGAACATGATGCAATCTACACAGAAACTGAAATATAATGATGTACACCCAAAATTTATATACTGTCATAAACTAACATTACCTCAATAAAAAAAAACTCAGTTGTTGATAATTACCAATATCTTTATATCCCATTCTTATTTTAACCTCTCAGCAGCATGAAACAGACTCTTCCCTTGATTTTTGCAACACCTTCCCCTATTGGCTTTTTTCTCACCTCTCTAGCTGATCCTTGTTGGTCCCTTTTGCAGATTCCTGCAGGTAGAGTTGGGAGTTTCTCAAGGCTCAGTTCAAGCTGCCTTCTCTTCTTGATCCATACTCTCTTCCCAGCCACTCTCAACAACCCCAGATAACCTAAAGAATCCTAAATTTATATCTTTGGCCCAGGCTCCTCTTTAAGGTTCCAGACTCATGTATCTTTACTGCCTTTTCTATTTCCCTTTGATTTGGAACACACTCAAATTCAAGAAGTCTAAAACCAAACATGTCTTCCTTCCCATAAATGTGGGTGAACAATGCCATTCTCAGACAACTCAGAAAATGAAGTATCATCTTTCATGCCTCCCCATTCCTAAACCTCCATGTCTAATAAATCAATCAGCATGTCCTTTCCATTTTACCACCTACACTTTAAATATCTCATATCTGTCCAAATCTCTTTGCTGCTGCTACTCTGGTCATCATTTCTCCTGGATAACCAGAATAGGCTTCTAATTCACCTCCCTGAATTCAATATAACTCTACACTGAAGCTAGAGATATCTTTTCAAAATTCAGATGTGTTTTGCTAACAGCCCACCCCCACCATTTTGCAGAGTTAGGTCTTTGTAACTAGATCTAACACAGATCTCTGCATGTGTGACTACTTCTCGGAGAAACCTTCTCTGACACCCTAATCTACATCAGGTTCCTCTGAACCTATGCAACCATGCCCCTTTCCTTATCTCTTATGTACTCATTTGTGTTGTTAAATGATTAGTGTCTGTTTCTACCAAGAAAGCTCTTTGAGAGTAGGGACCCTGTTTGTTTTACTCATCATTGATTTTCCAGCATCTAGAGCAGTCCTTGCACATGAAACACCTTAAATATGTGCGTGAATAAATAACACACATGGAACCCATCTAGGGCTTAGGTAGCCATCCTGTCTAAATATTATAATTTCTTTTCAGCCTAAGAAAACACATAGTGGAATCCCAAAGAGAAATTCCTACATGTTCTATAATAACATATGTGAAATTCTCCAAAATATATAAATCATTAAGTGGAAAGAAATAAAAAACCAAATAAAACAAGCACCACACAACTCAGCTACTGAAAAGAAGGAATAAATTCTAATAAAAGAAAACTATAATATCACATTACCTCAAAGAAAGAATTTTTGTATATCAATTTAAGATATACCCTAATTTAGGATGTAACCTAACCATATGATTAAAATTGTGAAATGCAAATATTAATATTTTATCACCAGAAGTTTTTTAATACTGAAAATTCATTTTTACATTTTAAACAATTCTAAATTATACCTCATAGATGCAATAACTTATCACTTTAGATTTAGTGTTAGCAATCTGTTCAATAATACAGGCAGAGTCTAGTCTGTCTTATTCCCCACTACATATCTGCTGCCTAGCACAATGTCTGTTACACAGTATGCACCCAATAAAAATTTGTGGAATGTACCATGATATTTCTTCATGAACAAATTTTCAATTTTTACACTAAAGTATATTAATACCTGATATACACTCATACAATATGAACATATAAACAAAGAGAAATCCTTATTCCTTCTAAAACTAGATCTGCTAAGTGACTTTTCTACAAAGTTCTCTTATCCTTTATTTTAATCATTTAGTCAATAAATATAAGTGATGCTTGTTCATACAGAATACCATATTATATATTCCCACCTAAGTATGGAAGATAGTGTTATTACAAATGCAGTTCTTTCCTCTCAATAAGCAACCTCAATAGGTCTGCCACTGCTAAAAATGTTATTATTCCTTTGTCCCTGAAGTCCAAGTTGAAAACTTTGATGTTATCTTTAAAACTGAAAAAAGAATACTGATACATATTAAAAGTTCTAAGGCTACTTATATCAAAGCTATCAGTTTAAATTTTTTTTCTTGAGGAGTAACATCAGCATCATGGCAGAGTGAGCTCTCCTAGTAATCTCTCCCCTCTGTTAGAGTTTGAATGTAAAAGACATTCAAACTCTAACAGAGGCCATCCACACAACAGACAGCAGAGAGACCCATGCAGCCATAAGATGGAGGGTGGAGAGGCCGGAGCTCCCTCAGAGGAGGCAGAACAGGGCAACAGAAAACTTCACTCTCTCCCCAAGAGACTGGGATCTGGGATGGTGGGCAGCCGCCAAGAGGGAAGGAACGGGGGAGGGGACATTCATTTGCAGGAACATCAAAGACTCCCTAAGGCCCTTGCAGCCTAGAGGGAAGCCCTCTACCAGGGCGAAAGCTTTCACGGGGGGGTGGGGAGTTGACCTTATCAAGCCAACACCCCAGGAGAGCATAGGGAGAAAACCCTAAGAGAATGCAGAAGAAACTGCTCCTCCCTCCACCCACCCAGCACCAGCTCCAGTGCCTGGGATTCGGTGGAACGCAGAGGGCTCAGAATATGTGGCTCTTGACACCCACCCAGTGGCAATAAGCTATAATGTGACCAAATAATTCCATGATGCTCAAAAACAGAGCCGCACCCTCTAACAATATCGAAAGTTATATGAAATCTCCAGACCAGAGAGAAAATGACAAGTACCCAGAAATCACTCCTGAGGACACAGAAATATGTAATCTAAATGAAAGAGAATTCAAAATAGCTATTAACAAAACTCTCAATGAGATAAAAGAGAATGTAGAGAATGCAATTCAACGAGTTTAGGATCTACTTCACAAAAGAGATTGAAACTATAAAGAAGAATCAATCATAAATATTGGAGGTGAAAGACAGAATGGAAGAGATACAACAAAATATGGATTCCCTGAACACTCCAGCAGACACCATAGAGGAGCGGATCAGCATAATCGAGGATAGACATGTTGAAATGCTCCAGATGGGAGGGGGAGAGAACTAAGACTAAAAAGAAATGAAGAAAGTCTCCAAGAAATACACAAGTCAATTAGGAAATGCAACATAAGAATTATAGGTATTCCAGAGGGAGAAGAGAAGGAGAATGAAGCAGAAAGCTTATTCAAAGAAATAATAGCAGAGAACTTCCCAAACTTAGGGAAGGAGGTGGAAATCAAAGTGGAAGAGACTACCAGATCTATTAAATATGTCAATGTAAAAAGAATTACTGCAAAGGATATGGTAGTGAAACTAGCAAAAGTGAATGACAAAGAAAAACCACTAAGGGCAGCAAGGCAGAAGAAAATAACCTACAAAGAAAACCCTATCAGGCTTTCAGCAGATTTCTCTACAGAAAACTTACAGGCTAGGAGACTCTGGAATGACATATTCAAATCTTTAAAAGACAAGAATCTTCAGCTGAGAATACTCTATCCAGCAAAAACATCCTTCAGATATGATGGAGAAATAAAAACTGTCCCAGATAAACAAAAGCTAAGGGAGTTCATAACCATGAGATCTGCCCCCTACAAGAAATCGAGAAGGCTTTCATACCTAGGGGAAAAAAGGGGAGATGGGGTTACAAAGTATGGAGTAAGGAGATAAATAGGTAGACAAATCATAAAATTGTAGCTATACATCAGAAGACATTAGCAAATACTCAAGAATAGCATTAAAGATAAAGGGAAGGAAAACACCAAATATAAAGATAATCTTGTCATTTTAATCACAAACTCACAACACAGGAGGGAATAAGATGTGAGAAAAACAACTTAGGAGGGGAGGAAGAAAGGGACTGAATTGGTTTAGTCTAAGGAAATAAGAGGCCAGCAGAAAATGGACTATCTCATCTACGAGATTTTGAATACAAACCTCATGGTAACCACTAAACAAAAAAGAAGAACAGAGACACAAACAATAAACAAAGAGAAAATGAAGAAACACAACATAAAAAACTACATAACTCGATTGGTAGACCAAAATACACAGGATGAGAAATGAAGGAAATGCAAGAGATCTGGAAAACAAGTGATAAAATGGCAGCATTAAGCCCTCATATATTGATAATCACCCTAAACATAAATGGATTGAATTTTCCAATGAAAAGACACAGAGTGGTGAGATGGATTAAAGAACAGGACCCAACAATATGCTGCCTCCAGGACACACATCTCGGCTCCAAAGACAAACACAGGCTCTGAGTGAAGGGATAAAAGACAATACTCCAAGCTAATGGCAAACAAAAGAAAGCAGGTGTTCCAATACTTATATCAGACAAAGTAGACTTCAAGATAAGACAGGTAAAGAGAGACAAAGAGGGGCAGTATATAATGATCAAAGGGACACTCCATAAAGAACATATAACACCTATAACTACGTATGCATACAACACGGGAACACCAAAGTACAGTAAGCAACTATTAACAAACCTAAAAGGAGATATTAACAATAACACAATAATAGTAGGGGACCTCAATACTCCACTCACATCATTGGATAGATCATCCAGACAGAAAATCAACAAGAAAACAGTAGAATTAAATAAAAGCTAGTCCAGTTGGACTTAATAGACATATATGGAACACTCCATCAAAAAACAGCAGAATACACATTCTTCTCAAGTGTGCACGGAGCATTCTTAAAGATAGACCATATGTTGGGAAACAAGGCAAGCCTCTATAAATTTAAGAAGATTGAAAT